ACCGCATGAAACGGTTCTCTACAAGGTTGAGATGATATGAAATCCTATGATGACATTGCTCTTGTGTTCATGGTACGACATGGCTTTGCCATGGTATGATGTTAAGAAACGACCATAATCACGCGGATGTACAGTGGTGTATTTATCCTCACTAATGAAGAGGACACCTGTGATGAATAGGCCGAGACGTGACAAAGGGTATGAATGATTCTACCCCCCATGATTTGGTGGTGACGATTCCTCGTGAATGATGGTCTTAGCCAGTGATGAATATGAATCGATGAGATGTTATGTGATATATATTATATATAATATGCCATCCATTTTCACATGAATGATTGATTTTATGCAATATTATTGTTGTTTTATTAACATGTCATGATTGGAAGGGTAGTATCATTATTCATGTATTTTGTACTGCCTTGGACTCATAATTATTGTTGATACCAGGTTGAGTGGTGAGTGAATCTTCTACCTTAGACTTAGAGATTTCAATTACTAGGCATTGGCTCGCTCCTTATTTTTCAGATATGTAGGATGGATCCCTTACCGCCGTCGCGTTTTGGAGCTCCTATGTTTTTTTTATTATAATTATGAAGACGTTGTTGTACCCGAATCACTAGCGGTTTATACTAGGTGTACTATCATTTTATGGGTCGAGGTGGGGTTACCAGAGCATATAATCCATAGTTATGTAGCTTGATATGTGAATATCGAGGGCGAGTTAGTTGGACCGCTTAGAGGCTTCGATGGTCCTCCAGGGTTTGGCGACGATGGCATGTCGTCGGGTGAAGTCATCGACCCTTAGTTGATGGTCCGTTAGTGTACATGCAAGCTTTTTGGTGTAGTAGTTAAGTGTTGAAGTTAGGCGACCTTGACCTTTCCCAGTAATTATGTATTTTGTTTTTTTTTTTTGCCGAATGTTGTATTGTAAAATTGATGTTAATATTTCTAAAAAGATGCATATGTATTTTATTATACATGTATGGGAATGGTGTGAATGTTTTATTATGCTTCCGCATGTTTTAATAATTATAAGTAAAAATTGGAAAAAATACGTATTGTACATGACGTTCGGAAGCGTCACAATCCTAAACTTTAAAAGGCTCAGTCTGTGACGTAGGAGACTCCATAATCGTCTGTATAGATAGAAAAATCGATACAGGGGTTGCCACCATATTATTATTCTCAATAGTTTATGAGTAATTACCCTTTTCGGCCACATCAAATTCTAGAAATTTTGCTGTCCGTGATTCCACAATTCTTACACCTCGATTGGGATTATAAAAATGATATCCCTTCAAATGATCTGGATAAGATACGAAGTAACATCGAGTGGTCTTGGAGTTCAACTTACTTAATGTTGGATTATATAACCTCACTTCTGCAGGACAACCCCAAATCTTAAGATGATTCGAGTTAGGTTTATGTTCAGTCCATAACTCAAAAGAAGTAAATGGAGCAGCTTTGGTAGGAACACGTTTAGAATATAGAGTACGGTTTTCAAAGCTTCACCCCATAAAAAACTATGTAAATTGGTTTTACTAATCATACTCCTCATCATTTTCATAATGGTGCGATTGCGCCTTTCGGCCACACCATTCTGTTCATGACTCCCAGGTATAGTAAACTGAGCTACTATCCTAGAATCCTCCAAGTATTTGGCAAATGGCCCCTTAAGCTGTCCAGCATCGCCATGTTTGCCATAATACTCGCCACCACGATCAAATCTGACAACCTTTATGACTTTTCCCAACTGTTTCTCGACTTCAGTTTGAAAAATTTTGAACTTGTCAAAAGATTCAGACTTTTCTTTAATCAAGTACAAATGACCATATCGAGAATAGTCGTCAATAAATGTAATGAACTAAAAATTTCTATACAAAGTTATCATATAGGGTCCACTGATGTCAGTGTGAATGACCTCCAATATGTCATAACTACGGATTGCAGTTTTCTTCTTTATCTTGGTCATCTTATCCCTACAATAGTGTATGCAAGTATCTAGATCACCTTTAAGAGCAGGCAGGGTGTCAGCCTTTATCAACCTTTCCACTCTTTCCCTAGAAATGTGGCCAAGTCATTTATGCCACAATGCATAAGACTATTTCTTAGGTAGAGGTCTTTTAGAAATAACATTTTCAGCTGTATAAGCGACGTATATATCATTGAGAGCTAAACACAATCTGTATAATCTATTAGACATATTGCAGCACCTAACCTTATTTGAATTAAAGAACATAGTAACAACATTGTTTCTTAATTCAAAAGAGTAGCCACACATGTCCAAAAGATACGGAAACTAAGTTCCGTCTAAAAGAAGGTACATCGAAGGTGTTTCTTAACATCAGATTTAAACTAGAATCTAGAATCAAAATGACGTCTCCCACGAACTCAACATCGACTTTGTTGTTGTTTCCTATGGTGAGTTTTGATTTATCATGATTTGGTTTCCTTTTGTTTATGAATCGTTGTATGGTAAACACAACATGATTAGTTGCACCGCTATCTAGCCACCAGGAACTGGATGGGGCTTCAAATAGGTTGAATTCACAAACAAATGCCAAAGAATCAATACGTAAATGCTCACGCTTGGACAATCAAGTTTTATATTTACTGCGGTTCATCTTTATGTGACCCATGCATTGGTCACCATCCTTCTTCAAAGATGTTTTCTTAGGAATCAAATCATCAGAATGACCGGTGGTTTGATGAGTTCCTTTATGAGTACTATTATTGAACCTATTACCCTTGTTGCTATCGGAACTTGAGGCATACAGGGCAAGGTGCCTTTTTTCTTTCTGCAGTTTCTCTTCCTCTGCCACCACCCCTAACTATAAGGTCATTGATTGATTAGGTCTCATATTGGAAATTATGATTGGTCTTGATAATCTCAAAATCATGTGGAAGGGTGTTTACGGCGTTTAGGGCTTGATGCATAATGCAGGTATCAGGAATGGAAACAGTCTTAAGTTTTGTCTGCAGGTCTACCATCCTAAGGACGTAATCCCTAACCCCACCAGAACCATCATACCTCATATTGAAGAGCCCTTGCAGAAGTGTCGCAATCTCAGCATTAGACGAGACACGATTTCTAGCTTCCATAGCTTTCAACATCTATTTAGCAGTATAGTCAACTGGCAAACCACTCATCAAATGTTCCCGTGTGGATCGTTTCATAAATAACAAACAAATCCGATTGCTCTTTTCCCAAGCAGCACGGTGTGCTTTTTTAGTATCCGTACTATCAGCAGTGAGGTCTGCTGGCTTATCCTCAATAAGAGCATATGAATATTTGCCAACTCCATTCCAAACAGAAAATCCTCTTTCCATTTTTTAAAGTTTTAACTAGGAAGAACCTCAATAGTAATGGAGTTGCCATTTACAAAAAAGGTGACTGGACAAACAAGAAATGTATACAATTAGCATCATGTGAGTATTATACTGAGAGTTACATCTATCACCATATAATTACCTTTGGACAGAATTCATGATATGCTGATGTATACTCTCCTCATGCTAGTAGCCATGAGAATATATTCTAATCTTCATGAATTCACTACCTTTGGGTGTATGAACCGCTAGGATCAGTCATTCCTCACGCATATGCTGTACATGTGTCTCTCCGTGAATCAATACATAATCACCTCTTTTGAGAGTATGAACAAGCAAAGAGGCATCGGCAGCGCACCACCCACGTCTACATCCACATGATTGACATTTTGGATAAGTTGTTCGAATTCGACCTCTCTGAAGCTTGATTGACCAAATGCGAGATGACCCGCTCTCATTCTCCAACAACACAAGTTCCGGATCATGTTCAAGCGGTACGTAAGTGCCCATCTGCTCGATGAATCTGGGAAAGACTTACCGTAGGCTTGATGAGTTCAGTAAGAAGGATGAGACGGATTATTACATTTTTGTCGACGCGTTGTGTGAGTACAAATATGTGATGGAAGCTCACGAGCTCTCTTTCAACAATGACAAGGTTGACTTGCAATCTCATATTCAATACACTTTCCGAAACCGCTCGCAGTTTTATACATAGAGGACTATGGCCATTTCACCTAACATAGTTCTTACTCCCGATCAATCTCTCAATGCTACTCAGGGAATAGCAATTATTAGATGAGCCAGTCTCGCTCTATGCTTTCCCTGAGGAACAGCCCCACCACTACAAACATCAGTAGTATTTCGTTTGTTGTCCAATTGACTCGATTATTTTGCCATTTTGATCCAATGTTTATGAAAGGAGATTCGATTTTCGTAACAATATATACTTACTTTGGATTTTATTTTAATTTCATTTATTTTTATTCAAACATGATTTTAAAGTCATTTGATTATTATTTTATTTTATTTTCATTATTATTCAAATTAGCATGAGCTTTCACATTGAACCTTGGGATTCACATGATTATATTGTTTCCTCAGAAAATTTTACGTTGTCTGAGTGTTAAACTAATGAAAAGCATGTGAAATAATTGAGTTATTTCGATAGATTTATCGGCGGTAAGGTCATTAAGGAACTTGATAGTGACCTACCCAAATGACCACCTCATAGATTAGCTAAGAATTAATTTTAGGCAATGATTCCACGTATATTCCCGAACCCAAAACACTAATAATGTTATTGAAATCCGACTTATAGCAAACATCTTAGAGCTTTACGGATTTTGTTCGTTCGTCAAGATCACTTGATAAGACAAAGTCTTTTTTAATTTTCGATGTTAGCCGTGTCAGCTCATTCTAAAATTAATCCAACGAGCAAAATAAACAGAAAGTGGGTAGATAATTTCACCAGTAAAATGAAATTAGAAGTGCTCAAACAAGAAGTTTCCCTCCGGAATTTCTAAAATGAAATCAGGAAAAATATTTTCAAGTTCGTCATATGCTGTATGTTTGAAATTATTTAGTTTGGCGGGCTTGGTCCAATTGCTCCACGCTTGGCCCATTCATTGATCGCGGTGCCCAAAAACAAAAACCGGGTAACACTTTTCTTCACTCCCCTTCTTCTTCTTCCTGGTGGCATTCGTGGGAGCCTTGCTTTTGCTACAATTCCAGCATTGGAAAAAATGATCCGAGCGCTTTCCACCACACCCTCTCCCCTGCCTCGCGTGAAGCTCCTCTTCTTACGCAGCTTCTCCCTCTCCTCCTCTCCACAGCCCACCTCGGACCTCCCCGACTTGTCGCCCGCCTCCGTCTGCGAGGCCCTCTCCGGCTACGCCAACGACTGGAAGAAAGCCCTCGACTTCTTCAACTGGGCCGAGCGGCGGTGCGGCTTCCGGCACACGACCGGCACCTACAACCGCTTGATCGACATCTTGGGTAAGTTCTTCGAGTTCGACCTCTCTTGGAGCTTGATTGAACGAATGCGTGACGACCCGCTCTCGTTCCCCGACCACGTCACGTTCCGGATCGTGTTCAAGCGGTACGCGAGCGCCCATCTGGTCGATGAAGCCGCCAGGGCGTACGGTAAGCTCGACGAGTTCGGTCTGGAGGGCGAGACGGGTTATTACAATTTGGTCGACGCCTTGTGCGAGTACAAGCACGTGATGGAAGCTCATGAACTCTGCTTCGGCAAGGACAAGAGGGCGGACTTGGGTTTCGAGGTCGATGAGACGAAGATCTGTAACGTGATTCTTCGCGGGTGGTTCAAGATGGGGTGGTGGAGCAAGTGCAGGGAATTCTGGGAAGAGATGGACAAACAGGGTATCAAGAAGGACTTGCATTCGTACTCGATTTACATGGACATCGAGTGCAAGCGACGTAAGCCATATAAGGCTGTGAAGCTGTACAAGGAGATGAAGAGGAAGGGGATTAAGCTCGATGTCGTGGCATATAACACGGTCATTCGCGCCGTCGGGCTCTCGGAAGGCGTGGACTTCGCGATTAGGTTGTGTAGGGAGATGAGAGAATTGGGTTGTGAGCCCAATGTGGTGACATACAACACCATCATCAAGCTCTTGTGTGAGAATGGCAGGGTTCAGGATGCATATAAGGTGCTCGATGAAATGCGCAAGGGCGGTTGTAAGCCGAATGTGGTTACATACAACTGCCTTTTTGGGTCTTTGGAGAAGCCCAGAGAGATACTGAGATTGTTGGATAGGATGATCGGGAGCGGGATCGATCCTAGGATGGACACGTACGTGATGCTCATGAGGAAGTTTGGGAGGTGGGGATTTCTCAGGCCTGTCTTAACGTTATGGAATAAGATGGAGGAACTAGGAGCTAGCCCCGATGAATCTGCATACAATGCCTTGATCGATGCTTTGGTGGACAAAGGTATGATAGATATGGCTCGAAAGTATGACGAGGAGATGCTTGCGAAAGGTCTTTCCCCGAAGCCTAGGGCAGAGCTGGCACCAAAATCAGGGGATGGTTCTTGATGGTCAAAGCTTCCGAACACCATGTTAAACGTAGGTTACATGCAGCATGGATTGCTCCAGTGGAACGAAAACAGTAACGCAGAATGTCCCTTGTCGAAAATGAAAACGGTAACGCAGAATGTCCCTTGTCTAAAATATGGTACAACAGCAGTAGGCTTCTTTTGATCAGAGTTAGGATCAGACATGACTGGACCATCAGCGAGGCGCAAAACTGTTCCGGCCTTCGTTCTGTGGAGTAATGCTACGCATATTGGAAAGGAAAGCAAACAATTTGGTTCGGTACAAGATGGTCGTTTAGAGAAGTGGATGCACGGCATGAGGTGGTGGATTTACATAACACAATCCATACAAGCCCGTCGAAATATTTGGTGAATCAAATTTGGTAGATTGTCTTAGTATAGCACTCCTATAGTATTACTCATATTTAATACTGAACTTGTATCCTTGCGCCCTTGTTCATTTTGAATTTCCTCAATGATCCTACTGTCTCTAGTCTCGTGTTCATTCATCTGTTATACTCGCTCACTCGGCCCAGTGGAGATTCGACAATAAACAGAAGGAACGAGAATCTCACATTGTCTGTCATTTCAAATTAGTCTTATCTAGTTTCTGCATGACAAATTGACAAAGCCTGTAAATGGATGGATTTTCCTCACGATCTGAATGATAGCAACATCACCACGAAATGGTAAACTGTTCCGATATAGGGGCTCGGTCTGAAAATGATAAAATAGCCAATGCCATAACCAAGTAGACATCTAGCCGATCTTTCACAGTGGCAACTCAGTTCACTCCTTACCATCTTCGTGATCTTTGTAATTATGACATACTCCTGGTTATTATAGTGGGTCCAGAACTTCAGATTCCACCGACTTCAGTACCTCTTCACCCATTTGTTTGCATCCAACCAATGTCTGCATATGCAAGCGTTAGACGACTAACAACTAATCAAGTCACTACAGTAAATAATGCCTCCATATCATCTATTCTGAAATGAAATCATCCAGTAGGCAGAGAGCTTACAGGAAAAGCACATCCATCAAATTTTAAAGTTGTTACCCAAGTTATGTGCAGATTCCATCATCGGCTAAATATAATCTCTTCAACCCAACACAGTGCAAAAAAGGTCGAGAGCTTCTGTAAGTCAATTTAATATGTAGCTATTTCACCAAGTATGTAGCCAAACTGACTGCTTCCCCTCAAGCAAGAGAGAGAGAGAGAGAGCTCATTGAATCCATTCTCCCAGTTTCAGTTGACAACTCGAGTGTATTCACCAAGTATAAAATGAATCAAGAATAATTCAATGAATTTTCAAGGAAGTTACCAAGAGAGAAATAACATTTTTTTTTTTTGATAACCGAGGTGTCCGCGCGGCCGGCGAGCTAGGGCTCAAAACCAGCGGTGATGCCCGACTAGTCCTCGAGGGGGGATAGCGCAGCAATGAAAGAAAAGCACATACATTGCCGTCAGAGTATATGTCACCAGTCCGGAAGCCTCTATTGAGAGTATCGAGCACAGCAGCTTCTATTCGCTCTGCTGCATTTTTCTCCCCTAGTCCATACTTCAAAAGCATAGCAGCACTTAACACAGTCGCCAACGGGTTTGCCTTATCCTGTACAACGAATTAGAGAACTGAATAAATACATTCTTATCTGTTTTACCTTGGAAAACATGTTCCTGTTTCCAGACTTAACCTGTCCAGCAATATCGGGAGCAGAACCGTGAATAGGTTCAAAAAGTCCAGGCCCCTGTTTCAACAGTATAGTTTTTGAATTAAAGTTGGTAAAAAATTAGACTTTTTAGCAAAAAATGAATACCGAGAAATATCAACAAGCTTCTTACCTTCTCGCCAAGACTTGCTGATGCAAGCATCCCAATACTTCCAGTAATCATTGAAGCCTCATCAGACAATATATCACCAAATATATTGTTTGTTACAATTGTATCAAACTGCATAATTTATGAGTTATCATGACAACTGGTTCTCACACTTGCAAACTGGTGTCTTCTCATAAAGAGAAGAAATAATGTTCATGAAGAGCATACCTGCTTTGGATTACGAACGAGCTGCATCGCGGCATTGTCTACGTACATATGGGTTAGTTCAACATCAGGGTATTCAAGGGCAATTGCAGTGACTCTTCTCCGCCAAAGCATTGATGCCTAGCCATTCAAATGAAAGAATAAGTTCAAACTACTCGCTAAGATTTTGTACATAATAACTTAGTGAATGACCTAACATAGGAAGCTGATGAGACCGTATTCAGTATGCTTGTGACAGTCAACATCTGGCCTTCTAAAAGGGAGAAAAAAGATAAGACGGAAAGGAAGAGAGAAAGAAAGAAAACAAAAAAAAAAAAGAGAGAGAGAGAGAGAACTTAGACTTTTAGAGAGACACAGTCTGCTTCCTGTTTCGAGGTCATATGGAAATGCCCATATTCACTTGCATCTAGAGTTCCACAACTTAGACAAAAACTGACTTGAAGCAACAATAATCTATGTATAGGATTGCACCTTGCAGATATGTTACAATCTCAAAAGCAAGAAACTTCACGACAGGACAACATCAAGTAATCTTCCTGAACGATTGATTCAATAAATTATCTTCAAGACTTCCAGGTCCCTTAATTTTAAGTATAAAATGCCAGCATTTGTGCAAGAATATAAAACTATCCTTGCAAAGAGCTCAACAAAATTTCCTACCTCCAACACATTAGCTTTGTCGACGGAGCAAAGATTTCCACGCCTCTTTCGGGCAGTCTCAAAAGCAACTCGAGCAATGCGATCAATCTGCCATGAAAATTTATATCATGTCAATCAAATATCTGGAAGGAAGAAAGAACAAGAAGTAATATGTCTTCAGGACCAAGTCTAAGTCAGGAAGGGAGGCAAAGGGAAGCATACCACTGAAACATTCGAAAAGGAAAAGAAAAATACCCCAAAGTTAGCCGTAGAGGAGCTTTCTATGTTATAATTCTGCTACATCTACCAGTATCGACTATCCACAAAGAATAATTATGGTAGCTTCCCAATCCACACAAGAACAGTCCGACAAAGGAAAAACATTGCCCAGTAAGTTTACACACAATGAAGAAGTGGTAGAATATATTAATCAAAATCCTTTAAACAAAGGAGACCAAACATTGATGATTGATGGGGGAAGTAGAATTTCAATGCCTATCTAGAGTAATGCACATAATCGGCAGAATTGTGCTGACTACAACTTCATCAAGTTAATGAGTCATACAATGAAATTGTGGGAGGTGTAATCACTCATAGGTTGAGGAAAAGAGACCCCAAATAGAAAATGATATGATTATGTTTACAGTTGTGACAATACAAGAAAAAAAAGTTACCTCACTTGTTGCATATACTTCAGTATTAAAACCAATCTCCTCACCATTTTGATTGGAACTAAAACCCCTTGGTTTCCCAAAGTATATTCCTGTTCAAACAAGGAAATAACACACAATCATCCATATCATACTGATAAAAATTCAAGCATGAAAGAACAAATAAATATTTGAAACTAACCGCCTGTGAGCTCCCTTACAACCAGTAGGTCAACACCTTCAGCGACCTCTTTCTTCAAAGTTGAAGCATCAACTAACTGTGAAGGAAGATCCGTATAAAAGAGTGAGACCATCTCTTCAGTGATTAAGGTAATACTAGAACACGTGCGTTCATAAATATGCAAAGAAATCAAATATAGTCATGGAAGAAGTATCACTAAAATAAGAAGCAAAGCAAACTAACAAATACAAGCTATCCAATGCCGCACAAAAAGAAACAGAGGCAGCTTGTATGAAATATTTAGTCCATAAAACATAGAAAAAGATCATGAAATCAGGCAATCAAGAAAGTGGTCTAAAAACAACCTGAGGTAATACAGTTGCTGGCCGTAAGTTTGCAAATACTTTAAGACCTTCTCTTAATTGAAGCAGCCCAGTTTCTGGCTTCAAATGTTTTTCGTTATTGTCCCACTTATACCTTAGTATAATAAAAAAGAAAACAAAAAAGATTTATGACAGAAGGCAGGAATAGTACAATTAAGAGGGAAAGATTACATGGACGAAAATTACCCTCCAATTGCTCCAAGAAGAACAGCATCAGATTGCCGAGCTGCTGATAGTGTCTCGTCTGGCAATGGAACTCCAGTCAAGTCTAAAGCAGCTCCTCCCATAGGCATCTCTTGGAAACCAAATTCAATACCTAAGATATAGTACACACAACACTGAGAAGCTAAAGTCCATCTCAAGATCCTATCAAGAGTTGGCAGTCTTTTTAAAATGGCTAACCAAGATATGAAACCAAATCTAGGAACATTGGGAGAGAACCAACTTAATCGATGCCAATCCACTTTTGGTCTTCTACTCCTAACAAATTTCTAAGAAATATAAGAATTCATTACACCGGTAGAAGAAGTAGTGCAAAGAACTTTGTCATCCACTGAAAAGTTTGGGGAAATAGTTCCACAAAGGGCAGCTTGCGTAGCCACCAACTCATCTGATCTGGCATGAGGCTGGTGCCAATCAGAGTTTAAGATAACATCTGAAACCTTGGCAGTAATAGGTAGACTAGAATCATATAAAACTTTCCAAGAATATACCTCCAATAGAATTCCATGGGGATGCCAATTATCTACCCGTAAGTATGTGGATGTCCCATTTCCTATGACATTTTTAATGACAGGTGTAAGGTAGGGTCTGAACGTTAAAAGCTTTCTCCAAGCAAAGGTGCAATCAGCAGAGGGTGAAACAGACCATATGGTACTCCTTGCCAAAGGATAGTGATAAATTCGGGCGATCCAAAGAGAACCAGCCCAGCTCAATAATCTTCATAGGCATCTCATAATACAATATATGTTCCATAAATCCAGCCCAAGCCCTCCCTCTTGCTTAGGAAGGCACACAAAGTCCCAACCAACTTTAGAGCCACCACGAAGATTCTGCTTACAAGATCAACATTTCTCCAGTGCTCTAATAACTTTCTTACTCAAAAGAAAGGTTTGGCACAAAAAATTTCACCAAACTATAAACAAGTCTCCCAGCATAGGAGAGTTTTCGAACTGTCCACTTAAAATCCAATTCAGCCAATTCATCCCGCTTGATCTCATATTCACTTGACAGTAGACAGTACTGACAATTCACGAATTACGAACACAGGACCGTAAAAGGGGAGAACTTTCACATAATCTAAACTTCAGAGCTCAAATGAGCTTCCATCAAACGGCGAGAAAAGCAGAAGGGTGTTCCCAAAAAAACAAGAAACAGCGAACAGAAGTCGAAGGAAATAAAAAGGGCTACCTTCAAGTGATGCAGCGAGGCTAAGGACGCCTTTAGCGACGGAGATGACTTCGGGGCCGATGCCATCGCCGGGAAGGAGAGTGATGGAGTAGCGTCTGGTGGGTGTGGTCGCGCCGCACCTGATACTGCCCAATCTAGGAGGGCATTGCTTGAGGAGTGAAGCGTTGTTGTTGTGGCGAAATGGGGCTATGAGGGATTTGGAATTCAGCTGCAGAGAAGCCATTGTTCAGACAAGGGGCGAGAGAGAGAGAGAGAGAGAGAGAGAGAGAGAGAGAGGTGCAGAGTTGCAGAGTTCTGTGTTGAGCGAGGGCGACGCTATCTTGGCAGCTTGGCGGCTCCTGTTGGAAAACAAAAGGTCTCCGCACGTGTGTCTTGGTTTAATCACTTGTTTCCGCATACATAAAGGTTGTGTGATTAATTAACATTAAATACAAAAGCAAGAGGAAAATGATAAGCTCTTTTGTAATACAAAATATCTGCCCTTTTCTTTTGTAATATTAAATCAAATGTTATTGATATCTCGTATATTTGATCATCTAAGATTTCCTTCTTCGTGATAAATTACATTAATAGTCATTGAACTTTGATCCAATGTGCAATATCGTTTCTGAATTTTAAATTTGTTTAATGTAGTTCTTGAACTTTATTTCAATGTTCAATATGATTTTTAAATTTTTACATATTTTCATATAATTTAGCGACTAAAATTGACGTTTACTAATTGTTCGGGGACCATATTGAACAAATTAAAGGCTTAAGGGATAAAATTCATAGACCCTATTGCACAAATTAAAAGTTAAGGGACGACATTTCACATTATACCAAAATTTAAATTCCATTTTTATCTTCACACAATGCCTAGCATAACTTTTGGCCGTTTCCAAAGGGGAACAGATCAAAGCTCCCATACTAAAGACAGCTTATTCTCTATTCTTCAAGTGGGGTAATACGACTTGGTTTGGTTCAAGTTGAAAACAAAAGAGGGAATATTAGAATGTACTTTATCCATTTAATAGGGGAAAAAAAAGGGAGTCAATCATGCTTATTCCTTAGAGAGAAACTATTGAAGGTTGCCCAATAGTCATCACTCTCATTTTGGCCAACTCCCCTTGGTCGTTGCTCTGCCCCCAGAATAATATATAGTGGAATGATGACTTCTCGACTGTCCACTGCCACAGGAAGTGACTTAGATATCCCTCACTTTGTCATTACTCTTATTTAAGCCAACTCCCCTTGGTCATTGATTCGATGATATTAATCCGCATGGAGCATCTCGCGAGAGAGAGAGAGAGAGAGAGAGGTTTCAGAACCGAATGTGCATGCAGTTACAAGGAGCAAGAAACAAAACGAACGTCAAACGTTAAAGTGCGCATAGATAATTTCAGGTCGGAAAGACGAAGAGCACCCTTTTCCTCTCGATGTGTTCAAGGCGCCAACAACTTTTCCTTCATCAAAAAGCACTTTTCTTCTGCAGGACAACCACACAGACAACAAGCAAGAACTTGCATAATGTTTGACTCTGTCAAATCTCACTCCCCTCTTCTTCTCCTCGCCGTTCTCCTCATCTATTCAGTGTCTATTTCATTCTCTCATGGCGGTTCTCATCTCCACCACCCGCCGACCGCACACTTTCCGAGTAAACGTTCTTTCTTTTTGGGTCCTCCTCTGTTTTGTTCTTCCGTTCTTAAACTTGATCTTCGACGAACCTAGTGCGGATTAAAATTGGATGTGTGATCGCTGTTTCAGTGTGGCAGTTTAACTTGTGGACAGTTTCTTTCGATCACGTGTGGTTTTACATGGGCTCGTTGGCCTCCTTGTCATTGTTTTCTATCTAATGGTTGACATTATGTTCAACAAAGTGACCATTTCTTTTCTGCTGAAGAAATCGCCGTTTTGGCAGAGTTTGATGTTGTTCGGTGGGAAGAGAGAAGGCTAGTTCTTGAAGGAAATGATGAAGGCAGTGTACAGAATTCGACACTGGTATTGGCTGAAAAGAGAACGCGCAGGAGAGACCCTCTGGATAATTTCAGGCACTACAAGGGGGGTTGGAACATCAGCAGCAGACATTACTTATTTGTCAGTGTTATCGTTTACTTCCCTCTCTATTCTATTTGATCCTTCAACGAGTTTATGAAATTATAACCAGGAACATGTTCTTTTTATTAGTATTTTCAATAACAAAAATGCCTAGAGAGAGGGTGGTGCAGGGTTGGGTGACCAATACGTTCTTATTCAGGATGTGTGCTAGATTTGCTGTGATGGCAGAGTTAGTTCTAAGATTCCTCATGGACTAACCCCCCAAAAAAAGCTTTCCTCATTGGCTACATCTACAGTGGCTGGATTTCAGATGGTGAACTTCCTTTGTGTTCCATTTTTTATGCCCCTTGTTGATGGTCTCATTTATCTGCAGCAGACAGCTCATATGTTTGCCGACAGTTGTCAGTATTTATTTTGTGTTGGTTTATATGGCTGTAATACTAAGAGTATTTTAATTACTTGCATTTAACAGTCTGTTGGATTTACTGCCGCTCCATTGTTTGCCATTGCCGCAATTTGGTTTCTGGGGTTTGGTCTATGCCTTTGCATCTTATGTGTTCGCCACTGCTGCTGCCACTGCCTCAAACAGTCTTATGGCAATTCAAAATCCAAATATGCTCTGTCTCTACTTGGACTATTCATTACAGCAGCAGTGTAGGTTTTTCCCTTCTCTTTGTTTTGTCAAAAACAAGTGATGTGAATTATGTGAATGATGGGTTGTCTGTGCTTCAAGTGTCGGAAGCATCATCCTGTTCACCGGCCAGGAGAAGTTCCATGGAAGCACAAGTAGCACACTGAAATATGTGGTGAAGCAGGCTGATACTACGGTTGAAAAGCTTAGAAATGTGTCTGATTACCTTGCTGCTGCTAAGCGTGTCGGAGTGGATCAAATATTCTTACCACCCAATGCCCAGAACAACATTGACAGAGTAGAAACTGAGATTAATTCTTCAGCAACCAAACTCGAGAGAAAAACAGACCAGAATTCAGATAAGATTCAGCATGTGTTGAATTCAGTGTTAGTGATTTATTTACGTTCTGTTCTGTACATCTTTTCCTATTTCAGCATTTGTACTGATTGATATTTCCACTTTCTGTAGAAGATTGGCTGTCATCATTATTGCAGCTTTGATGCTCCTCTTGGCTTTACTTGGCTTCTGTAAGACTATCTGTTGTCACAATCAGATCAACTGCATATATTTCTAGTGACTATAGCGAAATTCCCTCACACGTTGATTGTTACTCCTGGCAGTTCTATCGGTGTTAGGAGTTCAGCCACTTGTGTCCCTGTGAGTGCTTCAGCTGTTATATGCCCTTATTTTTCAGGAAGTATTATCCATTTTATCCAATTTTTTCCATCACGATGTGGACTTTTTGTAGATTGTCAATTTTTGGGTGGATCTTGGTCACTGTTACATTCGTTTTATGTGGACTTTTTGTCATTCTCCACAAGTAAGTGCAGGGGATCATCCTTTATGATCTGTCTGTTGCCCCATAATTCTTTTAGATTAACGAATCTCCTCTACTGTTAATTTTTTACTTGTTAAGGCTAATATCTTTAGTTTATTTCTTATTATGCCATCTTCTGTGGCCTATGATACAGTTTCTAGCCAAGTCCACTATGTTGCGACCTAACTTTTTCAGTATGTAAGTTAAGGTTTTTTGCTAAACGATAACTTCCTCATCGAAAAGGAAAAATAAAAGCATATATATTTGGCTCGCTGCTAGAGTCCCGTGGCAGTTTCAGTAACTCTTGAAGTAAATACATTTATGGTTATCAAGTAGCGATTGTAATGCTGTATTCACCTGCTAGAGTTGGCTTGAAGCCTTATGATTTGCTTCTCAGTTTTCTATTCTTAAAAATTTTTAGTGCAATGGGTGACACCTGTGTTGCCATGGAAGAATGGATCCAAAACCCCACAGCCCACACATCCATGGATGATATCCTTCCCTGTGTGGACAATGCAACTGCCCAAGAGACCTTGTTGCAGAGCAAAGATGTTACCTTCCAGTTGGTCCGTGTAGTCAACAGATTCATTGGCAACATCTCAAACCATAACTTTCCAGCAGAAAGTGGCCCTTTTTACTACAACCAGTCTGGCCCTTTAGTGCCACTCCTTTGTAATCCTTTCCATCATGATAAAACTGATAGAAGATGTGCTGATGGTGAGGTCAACTATGACAATGCGTCACAGGTAAGCCAGAGAATCTGTGAATTAGCAATGATTAAAGCTGTTTCTTCATTGAGATGGGACAGCCTAGTTGAGTCAAGTCGTGTGAAACTTATAATAGTTATGATCTGCAGTGGTTTCTCATACATATCGAGGAAAGAGAGATATTGAGGATAATTTGCATCAGATAATTTCGACCAATGCTAGCGTGCCGAAGAGCACTGCAATGAATCTTTTCACTGATAGAGGCCATTAGATTTCACTTCTCTTTATGAAATTTATAAGGGTCATGTGTACATAATTGGCAAATGATAAGGCTATGGATGATTTTCTAGTACAGAGTTTGCAGAGAGCTTTGCAATTAACATAGCGACAATAATCTGGTGCAGGAATGGAGGAAATACATCTGTGAGGTCTCAGCAAATAATCTTTGCACTTCAGTGGGCCGCTTGACAACCGTATTCTATGACCAGATGACGGCCATTGTCAATGTAAGCTACGGCTTATATCACTACAGTCCATTCCTTGTCGGCCTACAAGACTGCTCTTTCGTTCGAGATGCCTTCCGTGAAGTTGAAAAGGATCACTGTCCAGGCCTAAGGCTCTATAGTAAGTGGATCTATGTTGGGTTGGCTTTGGTTTCTGCTTCAGTAATGCTTTCATTGGTGTTCTGGGTGGTTTATGCAAGAGAGCGACGGAAACACCCGGTTACCGAACAGTTTATACCTCTGACAGATCAAGATCAGTCGGGAGTAGAAAGAGGTCGAGATTAACTGTGCCAATGCATCGTGCGAATTCTCATTTAATTCTATTTTTTGTCTACTGTGGAAAAGGATTCTCAACACATCATGTACGGTATTGGAAAATTCAATATTTGTGATAAACACGAGAGAGACTATAAATCACTTTCAAGTTTCTTCAAAGATTCTTTTCCAACATTTGGGAACATCATTTCGTCTTCATCAGGGACTCTTGCTCTTAAAATTTCTTTCCAGAGAGAAGGAATTTATGATTAAACATGGCGCACCGGCATCATTTACTACATAAGTTGTCCTGAGCAGTTAAAGCAAGCTACATGTGCTTTTTGCGATAGATTCAAAAAGAACAATCATCCATCCATCCGTCCCGCAGTCTCTCTCTATGATCACATGATTTTTGCATCTCCAGCATATTTCGGTGCTTTCCTTTTTACACATTCGAGTTTGTTTCGTTGTACTTGGGGAAACAACATGCGAAGACAAGTTCTATATTTTGTCGACCATATGTGAAAAAATAAGAAAGCTTTAGCTAAAAGCTCGTGCTGTGCCAATTTAATGACATCTAGAGAAAGCAACCGAACGTCGGAAGACTCGAAACCTTAGAAACAGCCTTTCGGAGAAATTTCTCCTACCGACTTCAGCGAAATCAAACACACACAATCCTATGGCCAAAAGAAAAAAACGTGACATTTTCCTGAAATGTCATTGCCGAGACCATAATATTGCATAAGGGAACATAAGCAAATAGCAAGCTGCGATACCAGAAAATTGTGCAGATGAAATGGAACTGTTCATGTGCCCTTAGACACGGGCCGTCCTCAAAATCTGAACTGTATGTGCATGGGCGGTGGTCAGCTGAGGATCATAAGTCCCTGCAATTTCACCTTGCAATCATGCAAAACGCAAATGGCCTTCTTGGTTTGTACGGCTTTGAAATTCCATAAGACAAAGAAGAGACGTCATTGGCCCGACTCTTTGTTCTATAGCAAAAGATTGACTATAACCATCATTCTATGCTGTTTTTCTCTTCCAACATCACATATTTTCCCTATCACCTTTGTTTTTTGTTGAGCTGTGCGTGACGGAGAAAGGCTGCTGACCTTTCTCTACCGTCTCATGGATCACGTTGAACTTATGAATACTAATGCCAGGAAGCCAACGCGGCCAATGACTATTCAACGCACGCAACAAGGGATGAACCTTTCTGGTTAGCGACATGATTGTCCCTTGTAAGGTAAACTACAAAGGAACGCATTTCACATGTGCCATAAAAATTCCATTTATTCCAAATTTAACGAGAAAAATTAAGAAACAATGGATTCATTCCATTAGATCCAAGTCAATTACAAGTTGAGAAATACCGCAATCACTACATCCAATGAAAAAATACGAGTTTTCACGTATTTATTTTTAAGTGTACTTGGTTCTGTTTATCACATCGTCCGTGAAATGAATTTATATGAACTTTTTTTTTTGTAAAATTAATGATCGTGAAAAAATGAAACCTACTTTTTATAAGAAGGAGCCATTTCAATGAACCTTGTTTATGTGGATGACCGGGACTGTTAGGAAGAACATAGTTTGCGGCTATAAGTAGAAATGAATTGCAACCTTGAGAAACGCATTTCTTTAGACAAAAGGATCTATTAAGAGAACTCATTCACTGCACTACACTCACCCTCAGAAAAGTTTCTTTGAACGGATTAAGCAGCTAAGCCAACATGGCTTCTTTTGTCCAAACCGAATCATCCATGCCGAAAGCGAACCAGATCTTCGACGAGATCCAGTGGGTGATCCAAATCCGCCAGACGCTCGAGGAAGAGTTTGAAGACGAAACCGAGGTGCCAGTCTCCATTTTCAGCGTCCCCAAAGTATTAATGTCTAGCGCCCCAGATTTGTACACCCCGCAACAAGTGGCGATTGGTCCATACTACCATTGGCGCCCGGAGATGTACGAGATGGAGAGATACAAGCTTGCGGCGGCGAAAAGCTATCAGAAGCAACTCCAAAGGATCAAGTTCCAGAATTTGGTGGATCAACTGGTAAAGTTTGAGTCGAGAGTCCGAGCCTGCTATCACAAGTACCTGGACTTCAACGGCGAGACACTGGCGTGGATGATGGCCATTGACGCGTCGTTCTTGCTCGAGTTCCTCCAAGTCTACGCAATCAAAGAAGGTAAGATACTCTCCAGGGTCTCATCAAGGATGTCACATTTGGTCGATTATGCAGGAAGGAAGTCTGCACACAATGTCATCCTTAGGGACATAGTCATGCTAGAGAATCAAATCCCACTTTTCATATTGAGGAAGATGTTGGAATTCCAATTCGCATCCCTCGACGAAGCTGACGACATGTTGCTTGTGATGCTAATGGGGTTTTACAAGGAAGTTTCACCTTTCAAAGTGATGGAGGCATTGCCCACGATACAAGTCTCCGCCTGGGCCCACTTGCTAGACTTCTTGTATGACACCATAGTACCCAAAGTGAAGGAACAGCCCGAGATTGTTGAGGAGGAAGGTGACAACGAGGACAATGAAGGACAGGCAAAATCACCACGGTCATTGTTGTCTTCCATTGGCACAAATTATATCAAGCAATTATGTGATCAAATTTGGAATTTGCTCTCCAAGTTGAGCAAAGGCCCTATTGAAATTGTTAAGAGGCAGCTTCTTTCAAACCCAGTGAAGGTAGTATTGAAATTGCCATTGACTATTCTCTCTAAACTCCCATTTTTCTCAGTCTTGGCACAGCCTCTTGAGTCCTTAATCTCATCCCAAGTAAAAGAAGAGGGCAAGTCAGAAAATGAAAACAGCAATCCTCATAAGCCACCTTCAGTTGAGGAGATCACAATCCCATCGGTCTCTGACCTATCCAATGTAGGAGTCTGTTTCGTACCCACCAAGGGAAACCTCTCTACCATCGGTTTCGACGCCAAGACGGCGACGCTTTACTTGCCTGCCATAAGTCTGGACGTGAACTCGGAGGCGTGCATGAGGAACCTAGTCGCTTATGAGGCATCCAACGCGTCAGGCCCATTGGTTTTCACGCGCTACACTGAGCTCATGAACGGTATTATAGACTCGGATGAGGATGTGAAGCTGTTGAGAGAGAGAGGGGTCATTTTGAACCTTCTGAAGAGCGACGAGGAGGTCGCAAAGCTGTGGAACGGGATGAGCAAGTCGATCCGGTTGACAAAAGTGCCCTTCTTGGACAAGGCGATCGAGGACGTGAACAAGTACTACAACGGGAGGTGGAAGGTCAAGCTCGGCAAGTTCATGAAGCAGTACGTGTTCAGCTCATGGCAATTCCTGGCAGTGATGGCTGGGATTGTACTCTTTCTGCTCGTGACATTGCATGCCTTTTGCTCGGTCTATAGCTGTTCTCGCCTATTTCATATCAAAGCCCCAAGCATATGATCAATCATAAAGATGTTGTGTCTGTGTGTATACGTGTTCCATGTTTTTTTCTTTTAATCTAGGGAAAAAGCACAGTCCTATGCTCAGATCCAGTAAAATCTGGATCAAGCTGGTGCACGTGAAAATTTGCATTTTGTTCATAGCTTTTTAGCCGCATGATGAGTTTTTGTAAGATTGTGGTGTAGTATTATTGAAGAGAGCAAGAGGGTTATCGTGGGCATGTTTTGTTGTTGTTCTATATCTGATGTCATATAGATTCATCTTTGCATTAGCCTCTAGATTGAGAGATATCTGGGTGCACAAGATCCCACTGCACTGGGATCATCATCATCCAAGTCATTTTCTCTCTTAGATTCGCCAACTCTGTGTCGCCTGTACGAATGGATGAAACTCGTGCGAATATGTCAATTCAGTTTTCAGTGAAATTATCTATCTTAATTATGACCAGAGGGTATTTACTGCTGGGTTAGTCATATCTAATTACAGAATGAATTGTCAACTTATGTGAAAGTACCAAACCTTCTCTTGCGGTCAAGGAGGTTTATGAATTCGGTCTCTAGTAATCAATTTCTTTCCCAGGCCAGGTCCCTAATAATTACTTACGGCATGTCAAACAACACGTAACTCCATGTCTCTAGGCTTTAGGGATAGAGTCAGGCCATTTGTCTAGTTTGTTCCGATAATATAACAACGTTCGATAAATTCTGAATAACGTGCCTTTTCATTTGTGTTGTCACATCTAAGAAACAAATGAAAAAATTTGGTATTCCTGGAGTTCTAAGAAGAACTATAGAAACATAGGAAGCTTGACAATGGGTTAATGGATTATTTTAAGCAGGTCCTACAGAATTCTAAGCAGAAGTACGGAATTCTAAGCGGGTCCTAGAATTCATTTGTCACATGAAGTTTCCTTTTTTAGCTTGAATAAATCTATCTTAAATTGTTCCAAAAGAAACTTGAGCTCCTCTTATGTAATATCATGAAATGTTGACACAACAGAATGTAGGCTCAAAGTTGAGTTTAGCTAAAATTCTAGTGGGGTCGAGAGCTTAAAATTTGCTTAGCGAGATAAACTTTTTGATGGTATTATATTTGATAAAATGAAAAATCAAAGTTCAATTGGAGCACACAGCACCGGCTGGACAAAGCTTAGCATTGTTCGTTACTTGACTCAATAAAAATTAAATGAAGATATGTATATATGACGAGGTATACTGATTCTCCATATAATCAAGTTCAAACAATCTCATATTTAACCACCGCCCGCAGCGGCTGCGTTGGCTTGCGCTCTTGTCCCCCCACGAAGGGATCGGAGTTCGAACCCCAGCCTAGTCGTTAGGGATTCTTAAGTGTGGCGCCGTGGTGGTGGGTCCTGCGCTAGCGTCACCCCAGGTTTACCCCTCCAGCTGTCGGCTGTGCGGGGGGTTCCTGGGTTATCAAAAAAAAAAAAACAATCTCATATTTAAGTCACTCATTTAAGTTTTATTCTTACCCAATTTATAAAGTTAATGAATAGGCAAAAAAAACAAAAACAGAGCAGAATTCAGATAAGATTCAACATGTGTTGAATTCTGCGTCAGTGTTAATTTATGATATGTTCTGTACATCTTGTCTATGAATCAGCATTTGTAATCAATTGTTTCCACTTTCTGTAGAAGATCGGCTCTTCTCGATATTGCAGCTTTAAGGCTCCTCTACTGTTAAATTTTTGCATGTTAAGACTGATTTCTTTAGTCTATAACT